TGTCACGAGCTCACATTTGTTATGGTCTGATTAACAAAAAGGGAATGTTGCCAAAAAATCTAGACAACCGCAAAATGGCAAACGGGAATGTGAATATTGTCCTTTTACGATAGTTTAATAACACGTAAAGATCGCCTTTCTGATCACTTTACAGTCGCCGTAAAATATCGTAAATATTCTCTATACGACTTTTTACAAGGCACGTAAAGATAGTGTTTTTAGTCTCTCTCCGTGATCTTTACGCACTATCGTTTTCAGTGCGTAAAGACATTCTATACGAAAGTGTAAAGAAGTTCGTTAAGACGCGTAAAGAGGATCTTAACGCTTACTTTACGGCATGTTTACGGATTCGTAAATTCATAATTTCATGCTGTGAATGGACCACAGTTTGAACGAGTTTTAGAAGTTTGCAGCGGAGTATCAGTTTGAACACATTAAACTTCGCCACGATATCCGTAGTCCAACGGAAAGGCAGTGTTAAAACTGCAAAACATCTTGAAGAAAGCTGCCGATACTGGCCATGACCCTCACATGTCTCTACTGAACTTTAGGAGCACCCCATCAGCAGGGATGGACACCATTCCTTCACAGCGTCTCATCCACCCAGAACCCGCACTTCCCTGCACGTATTCCTGATGTGAAGCTCGAATTACAACAAGGACAGAGGAGCTAAGGAGCTGCCACCACACAGAGTTGGAGATGTGGTGTAGATTCGACCCTTACCACGTCAGTCAAAATGATTTAAAGCGCAAGCTGGTGGTCAGGTAGCCTTCCGCTCCTTATAGTTTGCAAAGGAGATAGTAGACTCTAATTTTTCACATCCTAATAAAGTTCCCAAGAACTTCCAAGGGATGCCAGATGAACATAAAGTGCGGTCAAAAGTCAATCCCCAGATTCGACATCAGCATTGCAGATGCCAGCTGCTTCGCAGCCAGGTTCCCAGGCGCCTTTGCAAAGTGCTTCCGTTCTTGGCTTAAATAGAAGCGATGGAGTTGTTAGATCTTCAGAGTTCCTGCAGCCAGATCTTCAGCCGTCTCCACCAAGTGTTCCCATACCTGTCTCCACAAGAAATGGCAGAATTGTAAGGAGGAAACCGGTGTTGAGGCTGAGCTAACAATCTTGGACTTTTGAAATTTTTTAGTTAGTGTTAATCCGTTTTAAGTTATATTTACGTTTTCAGTTTTCAATTTCCTGTTATTATGTTTTTTGTTTGTTTATTCAAAGAAGGGAAATGTAACGATGTCGCAATAGCCTCTACGGGCTTGCGCTGCACAATGAGAACTGATAACCCAGATGCATGTACACGTGTTTTGTTATGTATCTTTGCAATGGTCAACTTTCGATCAGGTTACATCATTGTGTTATCTAGCTGTATTATTTAGTCCACCTATTGATTTCCTGATTACGTTACATCCAATTTTGGGAATCTTTTCTGAGGGACATATTTTGGCCAAAGAATTTGTCTAACGTATCTTCTATTCGTCATGGAAGACGACAAGAAATGATTTCTCGACCTATCTACTGCAGGAAAAAGCAAAAGAACAGGAAGCAGATTATTGTGTATGATACAGGCCTAGTGGTTAATTCCTCTTTTCCCCATCTTGAGGCCTCTTCACATAGCAAAGTATAGGACCCAACTCAGAAGGATCCATTTGGTTTACTCCAGTTGATTAAATTCATATAGACGGAGAAATAAAACCGCGGATGAGGCTTATCAGGATACAGACCTCTTCCTTCATATGGTTGATGGAAAGGCAAAACGGAAACAAAAGACAATAATAGATATTATGATCAAGTTCAAGGGCAGCCAAGTGTCACTAGGCTCCCATGGTGTGACTTTGTTGTTTATCGCTCAGAGGTTCACACAATATTAATGTTCAGCGGATGTACTCTGAGTAGACATACTGGGAGGATAACCTTTTTCCAAAGGTAACAAAATGTTATTTTGATCATACTTTGGCCTTTTTAGAAAAATTATGAATGAACAGCTACATGTAGGGGGGGCCTCTACACAGAATCTACAGGGAAATATTTATTGCCCTTTGGCCACTGGGAAAGGGAAAGAGATTGTCCAGACACGAAGCTTATTTGGCATGTATAAAATTCTTTCATTTATACTTCAAGAAACCTTGATGTATTACATGTGATATAAATGAGGTTCTAAAGTTATTGCTTCCCATTTACCTCATAACCACTTTTGTGCCATACTATTGACATTCCTTGTGATTTTTTTCAATTAACTTTGAGTATGTGGGAGCTAAGCAAAAAAAATTTCTGTTTGGCCAGATCTTTAACACACCAAAACGTTCACATAAGTAATTAAACTAAATTGTTAACAGTATAGAAACAGTTTCTTCACACACATTAAATCTCACAGATAAATCAGGGTATAATAATCCTAGTCTATTTTCACTAATACGAGAAATTCGTCTTCCACGGTCAGGAAAAAATTCCTGTCCCCAGGCTCTGGATTTTCTTCATCGGATTCATAGCTTGAAGCGGAAGATTCTTCAACATTTTCATGATCAGAATCAAGCAGAGAATTTGAATTGATACAAGCTTTCGTCAGTTGTTATGCATTGATTTATCATTTAAACTAATTTGACGTAGGCGTTATGGCCTTCTAACAGCACGTTTTCGTGGCGGCAATGCTCTGAAGTCATTATTTAACCATGCAGTATCTCTATTCAAATCAAATGATCAAACATAGAAGACCATAGCTTACTGAATGCTACACAACAGAGAGAGAGAAAAATGGTATAAAAAAGAACGATATCAGGATCTTAATATCTACTAAATGTTTTTTTTTCAATCCGTTATCAACTTGGAATGTACTTTGAAATTGCATTTAATGATTTGCAGAACATATGTTAAAAAATCGAATGACGCACCAAAGGTACAACGGTTTTCTAAAGAAGTTATTTCATTTTTTAATTCTAATCGTAAATTTCATCTGTAGTCCTACCGCTACCACTTAACCCTTAGAATAATCCTGAGATGTTTTGAGTTTATATAAAATAATGCTGACCACTGGTTCCGCATTCCACGTACCCCGCTCCTTCTGCGCCATTCTGTTTTCATTGCATCCAGTAAATTGTTACAATTCAGATTCAGCCTTGTTTCTGTCTTTCTTCGCCATTGCATAAACACTGTTCATAAATATATATATATATATATATTATGAATAGAAGACATTTTTTTAACGCTATAATCGTCTAGATCCCCTTTCGTTGTATGAAGCTATTGTCTTTACACTCAGATTTCACATTTTTAAATTTTTCTCCTTTTTTCGGATATTGCTCAATCCAACTCTTTTTCTTCTCGTGAATACCTTATTCTTAGATTACGAAAATTAAAGCCATTACACATACCTTATTCTTCTCCTTCGGAAGCAACAAATAATGATCAGACCCAAAATAAAACCGCTTAGGAGGACGCCTATAATGCTCAGGACAATTATTTGCGTGCCTTGAGGATCATCTGAGGACAGGAAAAGAAAATGAGTCAGAAAAATTTCAGATATCTGTTGTAAAATTGGATATCTGTCTCCATAACAGAACTAGCTCCGAAATACGTTACGTCACGAAACGATGACCAAAATATGTTTTAAATTTCTCGGTGCATAGTCAGTTTGACGCCTTAATCAACCACACTCGATGCATACGTCAAGGTAAAGGCGGAAACTTGAAGACAACCCTCACAAATACGTATCCTAAATAAGACGACTTACGTTCAGTTGAAAAGGTGCGCTCGTTCGTAAGATTTTATGATGGTAAGATGCGTGGAGTCTTGACGCTTTTAGCAGGCATTTGCGAAACAAAGGGTGATGGATTAAGGTCAAGAACAGACCCCTTTTCAGTTTTAACACTTTATTTCTCTTCATTGTGTGGTGGGAAAGTGACCATTTTCAAGATCACGGAGACGTGACTCTAAAAGAAAAGCTACCAAACAGTGTTTTGGTAAAAGAAGAAATAAAATGAAATACACTTTTCACGTAAAGATAAATGCACCAGCCAAATTCGTAACCCTGAGATGAAGGTGTTGGGCAAAAAAGCTAGCTCACCTGTCCTTTCTACGGCAGTGGGTTCATCAGGCAGATTGACGCGTAAAGTAACTGTGCATCGATCAAATTTCACTCCGTCCGTCGCACATATGGTTATGTTATAAATGCATTTCTCCTCCAGCTCTTGTACGTTACGAACTGCTCCCTTTTCATCAACTTGAAACATGTTTGAGTTTGAAGAACACATTTCTGAGGATGGTTCATCGTCAATAAAGTAACCGATGTTGGCATTGGATCCATAATCGGCATCGGAAGCCGAGACATTAAAGAAGTGCTGTTCTGGTTTGGTTGACCCTATTACTATAATGTCTGGGCAATCTGTGAACACAGGGGGAGAGTTGTTTGCATCTTCCACGATAATCGTGACGTTTACACGCGATTGCCTACTCGGAATACCATGGTCACTAGCGATGACAGAAAACCTGTATTTAACTAGGGGTGCGTTCAGTTTGAGTTTGTCTAAAGTTATGATGGCTCCACTTGTAGGAATGACATGGAATAGATGTAGATGGTCGTTTTCCCGCAGGTTTTCCGCTAACGAATACGTCACGTATCCATTACAGCCACTATCGCTGTCTAGTGCTGTCAAATTCATTACCACAAATCCTATAGGAATATCATCTGAAATGGTAGTTGAAAAAAGGTTTTTCGTGAAGTACGGACTATTGTCATTGAAATCTTCGACTTGAATTGAAACGTTCGCGGTTGAATTATATTTACCGTCGGAGACCTCTACAAGAAGTTTGTAACCGCTCAGTGTCTCGTAATCTAATGATTTTTGGAGCAAAATCGTTCCGTTTGTTTCACTGATGCCGAAAGTGCCATTAATATTACCGCTAATGATTTTATAATGTATTATGGAATTCTCTGCTGAGTCCTCGTCTGTGGCAGAAACTCGAATGATCGGCGTCCCAAATGAAGCCATTTCTGAAATGTTTCTTTTATAATACTGTGGATTAAACACTGGTTGGAATTCGTTCACGTCCAATATTGTTATTAATAAGCTCATGTTTGATCGAAACTTTCCATCCGTCGCCTGGATTAGGAGTGTGAAATCACCCCTGCTTTCACGATCAAGGTTTCCGTTGACAGAGACATTTCCAGATGAGGCATCAATAACGAAGTTTTCCTTATACTCCCCTGAAAGCAGAGTATACTTTATTCTCGAATTGTTCCCAGAATCTTTATCAATCGCTTTCACTTGATATATGAAAGTTCCATTTGCTACGTTTTCCTTGACAGAAATGTTCACAGTCCTATTAGTGAGATTAAAATTGAAATATTACTTTACAACTTTTCGGAAAACGCTGCAAAAAAACCTGTAATGCAATAGAATTTATGTTACATTTTAATTATACAATAAATGGGTGAGAACTCGAAATCTTTGTCATCTCCTCAGCGCGTGACGTTTCTTGAAATGACGAGCTTATTATCAACTTTAAAAGTGTTAGAGACCTACATTTTAAGGTCAGATAAAATAAAGGCCAAACAGAGACAAAAATATCGGAACTAAACGACGGCCAATTCTATCTATGCCTAAGCAAGTAATATAATTTAACCGCGCGTTAAATAGCTAGCAAGGTGATTGCGTGATAAAAAGAAAGGATTAATTCGACGTGATCTGTAAAAACCCAAAACATGGTAAATAACCTCCCAAATATATGCAAAATGTGGCCAAAACAGATACCGAAAGTCAGCTTGAGGAAAGGATGAAATCGCATAAAAAGTTCAAATGAAATAAATACCTTTAAAACCTCAAGATATGAGCCAAATATAAGCAACATATAACCATGTGGCAGCCAAATGGATACCTGATAATCAACTTAAAGGCATGAATTAAAATCGCACATGCAGCGCGACAAAATATTGCCATATCTATCGTTGGGCCTGCTGTCATTGTCGATTTTAAGACTTTGAAGCCCTTTTCTTGCCAATTGAGTATTCTCACACAAATTTCCTCTTCGTGTGTAAGTTCTACACGGGTGTATTTTGATCAAGAATGGAGCAAAAAGAAGGAAAAACCTCGATGACTTTCGCCTTCGGTCCAACAAATATTTCAATGTGAATAGTTGGGACTATTGTCAACATCAATTTCAAGACTTTGAAGCCCTTTACTCTCCAATTCTTGCGCAAATTTCCTCTTCATTTGGAGGGTCTACACGAATGTATTTTGATCAAGGATGAAACAAAAAGAAAGCCTCTGGCCCAAAGGCAGACCCTATTTTGAATAATTTTGATTACTCCTTGCACCCTGGCAAAATTTTCGGCCTTTGTACCACCCCCCTCCCCCAAATATTTGAACGGAAGACAATAGCATGACTTTTAGTAGAGAAGCAAATCTACTAGGGGAGGCATGAGATAGCAGGTTTAATCCGGGTTTTAATGTCTGAACTAATTGTTGAACAAATGAAGAAATAGAGTGAGTGTGTGTGAATTTTTCCTCCATACTTAAACCTCATAATATGACAAACGCTACACCATGAGGTAAAAATCAACGAGCCATGTCACAATACCTCACCTGTTATGGAATATCGGTTTATTATCGTTATCATCCAAAATATGAATTGTCACTTCGACTTCAGTTGATTTCTTCGTGTCCTGATTGGTAGCCTTAAGTGTCAGGTGAAACAGGTTTATGGCCTCGTGATCTAATGGAATTTGATTTCTTAGTCTGAATCTGTCCTGTGCTACCTCAGGGAATAGTACAAACGTACCCTTCGTGTTTCCTGGATAATATAAGAAAGTAGAAATGTAGGTTGAGTTTTGTACCAAAAAGAATCATAACAGCTATCATTTTCCATCTTAAAACAAGAAATGAAATTGAAGAAACTTAGTTTTATGACTCAAGTTAGCTAGGGCTCTAGTTGGAAAATTTTTACTAGATTTACATGGAAATAGCAGATTTCAGGACTGACCGAAGAGAGAAACATGTCAACTGACGGTAATTGCGTAAGAACCAAACTTTATTAATGGGTTTTGCACTAGGGCCTCGCACTTGTAACCTGGAAGCCAATACTTCATTCTAATTTCTTTGATTTTGTAATTCAAGTAGGGTATCATTAAATTCATATGTCACGAACAGTTTCTCATCTTCTCTTCTTTGCTGGCGTAAAAAGGAGGAGAAGTTTTAAGTAGACAGTGGATCAACTGTAAACACTATGACTGCTGAGACTGTGACAAGGCTTTGTGGGCACAACAGCTTCAACGAATTAGAGAAAACCACAGTGACTCTTGTAATGTAAAACCAGTCAGAAGTTAAACCTTTGGACAAGAAAAGACTGAAGCTAGTTAGCCCAAAGAAAGATAAAAGGTACAGCATTGAGTTCCTTATTGTTAGTGGTGCATGCAAATCCATTTTAGGCTTGAGAGCCAGTGAACATCTTTAATTTCTAACTGTCAACAAACAGAATATCCATGGAGGGGACTCGGATGGCGTGAGGAGTGAAGGTGGAAGACTGCATGTCGCAGTACAAGGATGCGTTCACTGGAGAATGCAAACTGGATGGACAACTCCACCTGGAAATCGACCAGAATGTCCAACCAGTCCAGCTAACTACACGGAGAGTGCCAATCGTCTTCAGAGAACCTCTAAAACAAGAATTGGACAGACTGTCAGATATTTCATTGATTCGAAAGGTCGATTCACCGACTGAGTGGATTTCAGCAGTGGTGATCACAACGAAGAAGAATGGCCAAGTCAGACTGTGCATTGACCCAAAACCCTTAAATGAAGCCCTACGCAGAAATCGTTACCCTTTACCCACAATAGATGATGTACTGCCTCTCCTATCAACGGCCCGTGTGTTCACATTACTTGATGCGAAAAATGGGTTCTGGCACGTACAGTTGGATATTATTGATATTACACTTGAAGGGTTACCAGGGCAAAAAGCTATAGCAGACAACACGGATGAAGGAGCCCTTGAAGGTCATGACCGAAACTTGGGAGGTGTTCAACCGCTGTAGACAGAAAGGTATCAAGTTGAATTCAGAGAAGATGCAAGTAAGACAGAAACAATTCAGCTCCATGGGCCACATTCATTCTTCAGAGGGTCGTGGCGCTGATCCAAACAAGTTGAAAGCCATCAACAAAATGCCGTCCCCTACTGATAGGGCAGATGTCCAGAGAACAGTGTTAAAACTGCAAAACATCGATGCTAGCCATGACCCTCACATGTCTCTACTGAACTTTAGGAACACCCCAGAAGGAATGGACGGCACTCCCGCACAGCGTCTCTTTTCGCGCAGAACTCGCACTTCCCTGCCTATGGCTAGTCATCTGCTTCAGCCAAAAATTATTTCTGATGTCAAGTTCAAATTAAAACAAAGGAATCTTGAGCAATCCATCTACGAGGACAGAGGAACTAAGTAGCTGCCACCACTCAAAGTCTGATATGTGGTACTGGCAAGTTAGTAGTCAGGTAGAGGTACGTTCCTATATAGTGTGCACAATAGATGATACACTAGCGCCCAAATGGTTCTCATCTTTACAAAGTTCCTGAGAACTTCTAAGGGATGCCAGACGAAGATAGAGTGCAGTCAAAGGTCGATACTCAGATTCGACTACCCGCTAGGAGACCCTCTAAGGGGATACCCCAGCTACGAACTGAATCCTCAGCATTGCAGATGCCTGCTGCCTCGCAGCCAGGTTCCAGGTAGTTTTGCCAAGTGTTCCCGTTCTCGAATCAACCAAAAATAATGGAGTTGTTAAATCTTCAGAGTTCCTGCAGCCAGATCCTCAGCCCGCTCCACCAAGCGTTCCCACACCTGTTTCCACTAATGAGGCCTACGTACCTGAGGTATTTTACTACCTAGGGAACCGGGAAGGCTGAGGGAACAATCTTGAACAGTGAACACTTTTAGTCAGTGTTCATCCGTTTCAAGTTATATTTACATTTTCAGTTTCCTGTTATTGTGTTCTTTGTAACGATGTCACAATAGCCTCTACGAGCTTGCGCAGTACAACGAGAACTGATATCCCAGATGCAAGCACACGTGTTATGCTATGTATCTTTGCAATGATCAACTTACAGTTGGATTGAAATTGTTGTGTTATCTGATTACGTTACAATGGCTACGTCTCAGTAGTTAATACCGCTTAAAAATGTTAATATTATGTAGGATGCCGAAACGCAGGATGTCTTGAAACCTCTATTTGCAGGTTTGAAATGTGATTTTCAAACGTCACGAAGACTCAGGCTTGTTGATTATTGCTTTCTAGCGTTAGTTTAGATAAAGGTTAGGAAAGGAAAACTAGGGAGTGTTTGTGGTGAACAATCCATGTTCAAATTATTCTAATATCACCTCAGTGATATTAGGAGCCATACGAAAAAACACTAATATTAACATTTTTTTTTTTGTAAACAGTTCTGGACCCAAACAATAAAAAGCCGTTTTATGGTTTTTGTTTGGTTCATCTCTGTTAAAAGTGAGGAGAATCAGTTTACGAAAAAAGGAAGAAAAGAATCGGCTGACTAGGCTTAATCAGCTGAAAATTTAGTAATATCAAATCCCCGACACATTTCTGCTGATGCACCTCCTAATTTGACTGAATTTTGAAAAATTGTTTGAGGTAAACTTTTTAAAGTTACCCGCTCAGTCCTGAAGTTATGCAACAACCTTGTAGGTAAGAGGATATTTGCCGTTTTCTTTACCAACCTTAACTATGACGAGAGAGACAATAGCAGCCATGCGTTCCTTGTCCAAAGCATTAAAAGGAAGCTCAAATGAAGCATTTTTATTTTCTGTGGCATTAAATTCTCTAGTCTCAAACTGTGGAGTGGTGTCTACAGCAAAATAGATAAAATTAGTAAAAATGAATGAAGGAAACAAATTGTTCCGATCTAATGTGTTGGAAAACTTTTCAGTGTTGCAGATCCCCTTTGTTCACCTAAAAATAACACTTTGGCTAACTGTGGTCGAGAGGATTTTTAGGGAACTCAGTGTTGCTGCCTGAGTGAGATAAAATGATGATGTTTGCTCAATATTTGTGAACATCATGCAACCCTATAATTTTTAACATGAGGTGGTATAAAGAACCTTCTTTGAAGCAGGTGCTTGAAAGAAGGGTATCTAAAGATTGAGGGTTTAGATATAAACTATCAGAGCCTTGAATAAGATTGCACACAGTACAGTTTTGAGAAAACTCTTCTAAGTACAAGGATTTTGTATATTCATCACGATCGGTACGAGTATTTTTAAAGACATCAATTTTCTGTACAAATGTGATTAGCAAAATATTACAGCTATGTTACAGCGGCAACAACGACAAGCAAAATAGAGTGTACATGATTTTCGATTAAGGCTATTTTACATTGATATTACCGAACACATCAAGGTCAGCTTGTGTTGAGTACACCTTGATGCCGTCATATTCCGCCAGACAGACATATTGACCCGTGTGTGATACTTGCACGTTAATAAGAGACAGGTCATGAGATGGTGCAAAAGGCTAAAAACTGTTACAGAAAAGACAGGAAAGAAAAAATTAAAAATTGGTAAGAAATTAGTATTGGAGTATATTTCGTGTAACTTACTTCAATGAGTATCACGACGTTTCGACTGCAGACTGATCCTTTTTTCAGACATCTTACTACAACCAACTACAAACGGAATACATATTCAAAACGCGCTATCCACCACCCCACCATAGCAATCATGATACTTTATTAGGTGAGGTGTGACCAATCTACCTTATCGCCTTAAGAGTCTCGCAGTACGCAGTCGAAACGTCGCGATCCGTATCGCGAAGTTAAAACATCACGAGAAAAACAAAACAAACCAAAAACAATCCACCTCATAACTGGAGTATCAACCAAACGAGTCATGCAACTTTTTCATCATTACCAGGAATGAAGTCGTGATTATAAATTGAACATAACGCGTGCTGTCATTGGTTGAAAAAGCATGCTCTATCTTAAAATGTTCAGAGGAAAGCGCCCCGTGATTGGTCAGAACGAGTTCATTATATTTCCATATAGCACGCGCCTTACGTCACACGAGTGCACCGTTGAGATATAATGCACGTAGCCTATGTCATCGGTACGAGTGCACGCAATTTACGATACATTTCATAAAAGAAATTTTAAAAAATGTTCCTCGAGCATTGTTAAGTTATATAAGTGCTTATATAACTCAATAGTGCACTTGAGAGTTTTTTATTTCTTTAATAATGAACTCGTGACCAATCATGGCGCGCGCATTTCTCTGAACATTTTATAAAACAGAACAGAGCACAGTCAATGCTGCTCTATTTGTTTAACATTGTATTTCATTTTTTAATATTTGTAAAAGGAATAAAGAACCTTTTTTGTTTTATTGATATTAAGACTCTTACGTTGAAGGTCTTACATTAATTCAATGCTTTTATTTTTTTGCTGGTTATTCTTTAGCCATTGATAAGACACATTTCCCTCAGCTACTGCATCACATCTCCATGAAACATTTAATCCTAGATCGCCGCCGAGACTACGGTGTACGCCGGTGGATGACGTATTATTCGTGGGCCTTTGTCAAACTGAATAATGTTGTTTCCTATTGTCTTGTACTGCCTTGTCTCCTCTAAAAATATATATAGGGATTTTAAAAAAGATATGTGCTTATTGCATTCAAAAAATCTTCCAAATTGAGATTTTCAAGTGTTTTAGCGTAATATTCATACACAGCGTCCTTGTAGAAAAGATTAAACTTTAACTACAAGTTGATAGCTTTTCTTAGTTAGAAAAACTTACCTTGTTTTGTTTTTTTGAGGATTCTAAGTTTTTTATCTGAGTAGGAAACCCATAAAAACTAAAGTCTTATACTACTACTGCTGCTGCTACTACTATTACAACTACATAAACTACTACTGCTACATGGTTACTGATAATACTACTTCTACTATTGTTGCCACTACTACTACTGCTTCTATTATTATTGCTTCTACTATTACTACTGCTACTACTGTTACTTATTACTACTTCTACTACAACTAATGATAATAATATTAAGACAGTTCTTCAGTTGCAATCGTGGCTAATTAGTAGTACGTAGTAAGCACTTTTTTAATCACGAGTGAAGTTCAAAGAAATCTTTTCAAACAGTTTTTGAACTTCTAAACAATAACGAATTGATGTTTTCATTCCACACGAGAATGGTAACTGATGTCTGTGAAAAAGGTCGAAGAATAACGTTCAGGAACAAAACTTGAAGCAAATCCATTGCAAATCATGAATTTAAGTTAGACATAAGACGACCCTTTTTCCAACTTTGGGAAGCGGGTCACATTTAAAATAAAACGACGAGATATGCTGTCTTACCTAATAGTACCACGCTAAATGTGCCTCCATTGGTTACTTCAAAATCACCCTCGCCACTGCTTCTAATCATCAAATACAACGTCTGCCTCTGCTCAAGGCAAGCGGTAGCAGATAAACTTAGGATCACTGACAAGCCATCAGTCACACTTTTGGTAGCTTTTAATCCATTGGTATTCATCGCGTCCCCATTGACGGTAAGTAGAAGTTCCATAATTCTTGAATGAAAAGAAAAGAATGCAGAACAGTTTTATTCTTTTTTCTTACTACCGTGAGGGTAGAAATGTTGGATTAATTTATGTTCATAGGCATTAGGTTGACGTGACCTACAAAGCTAGAGGAGGACCCAATTTTTCCACTGAAGGAGAATTTCTTATCGGAAGCTATCGTTTCCATAAGCTGCTTGTTCATCTGATGGACTCATTTGATGAAGTTTGTAGTTCTATTGATAATGACACAGTTTGCCAGCAATCGACATGTTGTTCTCTCTCCAATCGTCTGCTTTGATCACAAATGGCAATAAAATTGCCAGTCTGTTTACAATTTGAAATAGTAATATCTTACAAATGCAAGTTGACCGCCATCAAAAAGACATCCAAACCTGGCACCGGAGTGAGTATAGAGAACACCCAAAGTCATTCCACGTCGTTTAACCATTCCCTTTTTAAAACCAGTGGTAAGTACAAGCTAGCATGCTTTTATAAGGATTTATTTGGCAAGTGTACATCATTTTTAAAAGAGAGGCCGAAACGAAACTAAATTTCTAAATGTTCATGACCGGACATATTTCAACCTATAATGAAAAAGATCAGTTTGTCAGTTTGAAATCTTGGCCCTCAATAATGCTCAGCCGCCTAAGTCACAACATCTTACACAGAAACCTTCGTTTGGATCCATCCATACGAAAACGATATGCCAGCGTTTTTATACAATCGACTCTGGGGGAAATAGTTTCAAAACGTCATAAACGCTGTCTACCAGAAAATGAAAGACGCGAACGGAGATTAATAACAATTAACGCTATCAAAGATACCCAGCGACAAGTACACAAGGCCTTCAAAAATCGTGCAATGTCCAATCTACGGCGGCGAAAGGGTAAACTGTACTGCTCGAAAATGATCGTGTTGAAAAAGCCTGTGGCAATGATATTTTCCATAAGTTTTACATATTGCCTATCTGTTATACATCGTACGCTGAATTAGAATTCTCTATATCTATAAAGATAAAGAGAGAGAAATAAAGTTTTTGCGGAAGTAAAACGTATTTATATAGATATAGCAGCACCATGGGTGAATTACACATGCGTTAAAAAAGGTCTGCTAAGAGCCGAAAATGTCTCAGTTGATAGCTTTTTGTTTTTTAGTCAAGGGTTGAGGATTCGACGTCGAGAATCAAAAGTAGCTCTCAAAATCATTAGAAAATGTAATTTTCCTAAGCTTCCTTTGAATCGTCTTTTCACCAGTCTCTGGGGTCTGTTTTCGCCCCATACCCATTTTCAGTATGATTTCAAGACCGTGGCCAATAGAGTTTTGTCACGATGTGAATTTGAATCCATTTTTTGCTAAAGAAGGACGTTTGTTTTAAATTTTCTATCGGCTTAATACTTGTATTTGCTGACTGCATTTTCTACGCTTTTGTTCGTTGCGATAGTTATTTACTAAAGTAGTTAAAAATGAAGGAAACTACGAATAGTTGATGTGCCACAGTAACACGCCACCCCAAACTCCATGTCATTCCGGTTTTTTCAGTGGGATAATTTGCCTTTTTTTTCCTCTGAGATCATTTTCGGTCCCGCATCATTTGCGTTTCAATTTGTGGATCATTTGCACCCCATCTTCTTTCGCAGCTGCTTTAAAGAAATGCACACGGAAAATCTTACTCCTCGAAAGCACACTATAGAAAATTAGTGGAAAGATCAAATTACCTTGTTTGATTTGATAAATGTGACGTCTTCACGACAACTGTGGTAGCCAGGAAGTAAATACCCGGTAGTTCAGCAACAAATATTCCTTTTATGAAATCTGAGTTTGAAGACTTGCACTTTTCATCAAAGTTTTCCCAATCTCCGATAGCTTTCCACCATGTTCCACTAGTGTAATGTCTTGTTTTCGATCGCAGTGTTAAGCAGGAGTATTTGTCATTTGAAGTTACCAATGCAGCAAACATTGTGGTGTTTGTTACAAGTAATGATTGCGAATCGGAGTAAACAGAAGCAGCCATCGTTTCAGATTCATTCAGACGAGCAACGACAGCAGCACTATATGACACAATAGCGTCTCCTTCGGAGTGTGCTAAAACAGATAAAACACTGCGATTTGACAATCCTCTAGCATCAAACTTCACTCCAAAGAGGCTTCTTTCGCCTGCTTTTATCTGCAAATTAATTGAGAGAATATATAGCCCACTTTCCATCACGTAAAGTTTATCTACGGAGTATCCACCACGAGTTCTCCACTGAGTTAACTCTTGCCATCCTGTAGAACTTGACCAGTCGGAGATGTGCTTTAGTTGAACAGTTGTGTTAGCTTGACCTCGAAATTCAACGGATATCGTGACTCCTATTAGAGACGATATCTCAGTTTTAGGCTGAAGACAGACTGAAATTATTTCGTTCTTTTCTAAGTCAATCAGTCCAACGAACCCAAAGGTGTAGTTTCTTTTCCTCCAAGTGTCATAAATTTTAACGAGACACCCTGCAGACTTTTGACTTCCAACACACGCAGTGACATTTGCAGTGAGGTTTCCATTTAGAGTGAACAAGAGAGATATCAAGTAAGTACCTTTCACAGGTGCAGTGAAGTTTCCTTTATCATTCGGTGATGTCGGATTTGGTTTGTATATGTCACCATTTATGTAGGCCAGTTAGGCCTCCACCCCTTGACATAAATCCTGTTACTGAGCATCCCGGGAACACTTTTTTATTATTGCCATCCTCGAGAATTTGATGAAAACCTGGAGTTTGACGACGCGGAAGAAAACGCACTATCGAAAACCACGAATCTTTTATGGTGGCGAAAGGAGATCTTTTCTTAGATTTTATGCATGGGCTAATATTCTGTCCTTTTCTCAGGAATATCACTCCAAATGCACTAATGACAAATTTGCCACTCTTCTGCACGTCACTGAGTTTCGACGCCGAGATGCCATTATGAGCAATTATTCCATTGATAAAACTCCACTATCAAAAGCCTTGTCACCCTCATAATCTTCTATAATTAAAACGCTCTGCAGAAAATATAAGCCACTGTTCTTGATATTTATTGAAGTGGAAGGCGTTATCTTGTACTTTTTAGAAACTGACGGCACAGATTTCCAGTCGGCGACTTTCTTATATCCCGTCCGCCCAAATGCATCATAGATTGCGGTTGCCAAAAATCCGGCAGTGTAATCACTTTCCCATCGAGAAACTAAAACGGCGGAAAAACTACTGTTTGGCAGTACTTTACACGAGAAACTGTTTTGGCCAAGTAAGTCGATAAATGTTAAATATATGACTTTCATATATTCTTAACCATTTAAGTCGATAAATGTTGAAACTTTCTGATTTGGATAAAGGTGTACTGTACTGGAGAGCGTCAGCGTGCTGACAAAGGCACCACTTTTTGAATTTAAAGAATTTGACTGAAAGGTTGTTACATTAATGGACTGTCCGTCTGCTACAAAGGCCATTCTGATTTGAGATAATCCTGAGTGAAGTATTAACATTATTGCACTGATGAGGTAAAGACCATCTTCTTTAGCCTTGAACCTGCCTGTAGCTGAGTCAAATCGAGAATTTCTCAGGAAAAAAGGGTCAGACACTTGTTGGATGAGTTTCCATTCGCCAATTTCCCCTCCAGTGAAAATTTCGCTGGCTTCCTCTTGTTTAACTAAAGAGAGAGGATGAACAATGTCAACCGGGTATTCGAGTTTACATAGTGAAAAGAGTAGGTTTGAGGAATAGATGGAGATTCCCCACTTTCTTTAAATAAAGTTGTTACTTACTTACTTACTTATTTACTTACTATCAATTGAAAGGTTCGAGAAAAAATATTTAAGATTTGAACTCATGAATGACATGAATTTAGGTGATAAAAGAAATGCAAAGTACTAGTAAAACAAATCTTCAAGCACTAAAACCTAAACAAAACTTCCCGTTGAGAACTCTAAGCAAGGTCAAGGACAAAACCCAAACACGATTAGTGATGACGATCATCGAACGAGAATTAAGGCCCTACTTTAACAGTCAAAGACACCTAACTCAAAGGGTAAAAATAAATGTATTGTCTTGAATCTTGAAGCACATAACAAACCAAGACTCACACAAGGATTTCATGATAATCTAACTGGCCTAAATAATTCCCAAACATTTAACCAGAACAGTTCAAGTTTAGTAGTTCCCATACGTTAAAATTATCAATTATCCTTTGAAATCGAGGTGACCAGTAGTAAGATGTGCCTTTATTCAAATGTTCCGCGACTATTAGCGATATTGAGAGAGGGAACATACCAAAAGAAATTTCCTCTCAACCTCTTACAGATAGTTAGTTTCAAAAAGTTATAGCGAATCCAAAGTAGTTAGTAGTAACAGGGAAATAAAAACTACATTGATCCTAAGCATGACAAGATCTTGACGATGGTAAGACCCGAGTCAAGGATTAGATAAGGGCTTTTAATATTCTGCCTTGTTGTCTGTCAGTGCCACCTCCGATTGCGTTAGCGATTGCCCAACTGCCATAGCTTTAATCGTCTTCTTTGGGCCGTATACCGCTCAGAAATTTGTTTAATTTCATCGTTCAAAAAAGTTACATACGAAATTCCTCTCCATCGGCAAAGCAGACTGCTGAGTGAATTACTCGAATTGGAGAAAAATTGCAGGTGCAAACACTCTAAAGATTACATGCATTTCCGATGATCATCATGAAAACATTATTTTATTTCGAAACTGCACCTTCCCTGATATGAAAAATGTTCTTACCAGTAAAGTATTTTAGACCAAATTTTGTTACACTCTTTGTGGTTTTTGGAGCAGCCTAAATATCCAATGCAAGTTAATACTACCAATTTTGTTTCATGCCTCAGGATCACCAATCATCCGCCACATACATGACAACGCGAACTAATCAGATGCCTTCAATCAGGAAGATTACTGAGTGTTTATAAGGTAGAATGTAGTAAAGGAAGGTGATGTGATGTAACGCATGTAAATGTAATCACTGTGATGTATGTTGTAAATCAGGCGCGTGTAGATACATACAGGTATAATTAGCCTTACCTGCTAAGATTCCTGGGGTAGCAAGAGAATCTGCTCCAATTAACACCACTGAAAAGCCTGTTTCAATAGAAACGTTCCAGGATGACGATGCTGTAGTTTTGACGTACACCGAGACATTTTGACCTTTTCTAAGTTCTATGGAACCAGCCACATTAAGGGTGACCAGTCTTTTAGGATTTTCATCTAATGCGTAAAGTCCATTTCTGGGATCTAATGAGTCGTCGATAGCAATTATAGCTGACAAATACCCCTTGCCTTCACCTGCAAAAATTACATTGCAGGACACAAAGTACGATCCATCTTGATGTGGCCGATAAACTCCTTTGGTTGGAAAGAATGCATTGTCGAAGGAGAACAACCCAGGAACACCGTTAGTTTTCCATTCAGTAATTTTCGTCCATTCTGGGAAATTCAGAGGAATGGCTTCTGTAAGTGAAGCTGCAACACCAGGCCAGTCGTAGGGAACAGCAGAAACACAAAACAGTCCATCCACCATATCGCTTTCACGAGAATCGCCATAAACGTAAACACTTAATGAATCACCTTTGTTAAGCGAAACAAGACCGCTGACAATTAATGACCTGAGACTTGAAGAGAATGAATATGCTGCCAATAGTCCGCTGTTACCAGATGAAGGCTCAGTGACTGAGACAAGCAATCGTAAGTCACTCTGACTTTCTGTTGAGGCATTTATATTCATGACAGCTACCACAATGAACACTCCACTAGTGTCCGGCATGAACTTGCTATGATTGTTTTTCAGAATCGTCTCTAGGGATGGAAAGTTCCTTTTTGAATAGTTAACGATCCAGTTTTGTACCTTATTCCATCCAGGACTCATTTGCAATTGATTGTGGGAAGGTAAACTGGCGGAGAATTGCCGATTAGTCTCCATTTGTCGATCAAGAAAAAGGCCTGAAAAACTAGTGCCTGTTAAGACTACAGGGAGTCCCTCATCGGTACACTCAATCCTCATCTCAACACAATCTCCGCGTGTCAAGTTAAACATTCCGGACACACTAGTGGAATATCTATTTGTTCCGGACGAGTACCTCTTCACCAAAGTAGTATTTGAGTTTAAAACAATACTTACATCCACGCTCGTCGATTGGGTTTTGGATTCGAGGTTTATGTTTGATGTAAATTTGTGAATTCCATCAACAATTGAGCAATATAGTCCAACAGAAGGTGAAGTGCCGCTCTGCATCACAAATAAACCTTTGGACCCACTGGTTCTCCAGTAGTTAAGCCGGCTGGTGGTGTGCGGCTCAATAACTTGGTCACGTGATAATACAGCGTGAAAACCTGGGACAGAACCTATTCGTGACATCTTCATCACTGAAAAGGTGCTGTCAGACAACAGGATTCCCGCTGAGCCACTAAGGTAGCAAGCTATGACGTCGTTCTCATAAAGAAGCAAAAATCCAGACATACTTACGGTTTCTGTTGACGTGGTCTTTCCAACAAAACCTTCGAATCCGTTTTTTTTTTCAAACTCGTCATTAATTACCAGACTTGCTTTTAAGATGCCAATAGTTACATTTGTCAGTTGTAAATTTAGTGCAATAAAGTATATTCCCTGTTCGGGTGTAACAAATCTGTCCTGATATATTTTTCCTCTTGCGGCATCGCCCGCAAAGAAGCCCTTCCGTTTCTCCGTAGCCCATGGTTTGACAAGATTCCAGCCGGCCTCAGGCATGTGAGACATTGCGTTCTCGAGATAGCTTGAAACTCCGGCCTCTAAAAATGCTTTAAAAAAAGGAAAAGTATTAATGACCGAAGGCATCATAGAAAAAAGTATTGTTACAAACCAAATCGCATAATATAAGTCCTACACTGAAATAAGAAAAAAAAACAATAAAACATTCCTCACCTTAGAACTGAGAGATGGCAATGGAGAGATTAAATTACCCCTAACAAGAAAGGAACCAGCCTCTTGCAGTAAGCTTACAGTTGTAATAAGTATTTCATAGCTCATTTGAAAAACCCAAATGTGGCCTATGAGGTAAAAAACTATCCGTATTTTCAAGTATGGTGATGTATCTTCAGGTTCCCAATGTAAAGTCAGCAGTGACCTTTTCAAACAGTGGTTCTTTAGGGTTATCCTCGTGTTTAATAAGCTGAGGCCTTCGTGAGTGATATAAAATATTACTTAGTTCTTCTTTTGTACTAACTAATCACAGCACGGTATTTGATCCCTGAGAGACCAAAGAATAATAGAGCTCTCACCTCACAACAACTGGCACTTATTGATCGTTAATGTAGTTATGATGACATCATCCTTTAATAATTTATGCATAAGTATGAGTCTAAGAGGGAAATTGTGATCATGCGGGAGTGTTTTTAGAAAATGCGCAGGTGTAGTAAATGTAAATCTGTTTTAAAACATTCATTATGTTTTATACGTCAAAAACCTCACAATTTTCAATTTAGGGAAAAGTTTCTACGTAGCTCTTCCTCCGCCTTCCTCTCCTCCTTCTCACACTTCTCCTCCTCATCATAGGTTTAAGCCATCGGCTTAAACCGACTCCATAGGTTTAAGCCAAAGGTTTAAACCAACTACTCCTCCTTCTCAATAATACAATTCTCCTCCACAGGGGTTTTTTCGGTCAAGCCAGAGATCTCCATCATGGTAAAAATTGTGACAGATAAACGGATAAAAGAATGTTGTTCACTGACCTATGTTCATTACGTGCATTACCTCCACGTAATAAACCACGAACGAAAGATATGGAAGATATGGTAACAGAACCACCTGCCATGGAGGATGTGGTAATAAAACTGCTTGCCATAGAGGAAGAGACAAGAGTTAGGCAGGAGGGCATTATTGAAACTATTACGAGAAAAACAATGACAGTTTGCATGAACGTTACTTAAGGACGCGAGAGAGTCACCTGGCCTATTGTAAACAATATTACCAAAAGGAAAAAGGACACATAAGGAATACTGCAAAGACTATTACCTCCAAAAAAAAAAGACGCTATCGTTAATAAACAAAAAGATTACAACCAATAAAATAGAGATAACCTTTCAAAAAAAAAAACCAGAGAATATCCAGAGCAAAATCATCGTGAAAGGATGAAAGCCTATTGTCAAAAGAATCGAGATCACATTTGTGAATGGATGAAAGACTATCGTCAAAGGAATCAAGATCGCCTCTGCTTATGGATGCGAGACCAAAGCCGGAGGAAACGAGAAAAAACTCTCCTCCAGCTCAAAGTGAATGAGAGGAAGAGGCACTCACACTTTCATTACTTTCTGCATGTAACGAGGTAGTGCACTGTGCTTCTTTTATTCA